ATCCAAAAGGCACCTACAGTTCCTTCTACAATTCAATATCAGGCACTAGGCAGGATCAAAAAAATTGCAGAACCACATCACCACACACCCTCAATATACAATCAGCAAACAAGTAATTAAATGGGGAGCAACGAATTTCAGCATTTTGTTAGGGATGGCTGGGCTTCGTGAACGAAGATTTGGGAAGGCTCTATCCACATTTCTTACAGGCACGTTGATGACTTATGAGGCCAATACGAGACAGACATATCAAGGGTACACAAATAAACACAACTCAAAGCACATACCTATTAAGTCAACCTCTTCTGCCACCTTCCCACTGTAACAAACCTGTGTACAACATACAGCAGGTCACCAACAGATTTAAGCTTCAACCAGTGCTTAACACACCTTTAAACAAGCAATACAGAAGGGCTGGAGAGACAAGAGACTGTTGTCCCCACGCTTGTTTTACTGCACTTCCCCACCTTCCCTGCCACTATTGTTCCTGAATGCACACACTGGGCAGGAATGACTTTTCCATTCAAACTGCCTGCATCGGTTCAAACAGAAAACCCTCAATCTTCCTCACAGCACAAGCACACACATAATCCAGAAACAATCCACCCTCTCTGTGAGGAGCAGGAGATGCCTCTGCACGTTAAGCACCAACGTAAAGAAGAAGTGCCTCAGCATCTGGCATCTGGAACCCCAGACAACTGGCACCACAGCAACGATGGTTGGCACTGATGCCAAATTTTCATTTCAAGTTGTGTGCACTGCACTGCTTTCAAAGCTTTCCATGCTTGCTATGCAATGCTGCTTATAGTTGTAAAATGACCACTCACTTGAAAACAACCAAACAACCAAAAATTACAAACCTTTTGAGATGGGTCAAAGAAGCACCTTGGCCTTAAATACAGGGTAGAAATTGTGACAAGTAGTGTATTTAAGAAGGAACATTATAGCTTGGTAATTATATAAGACAAGACAGAAGGAGTCCCTTCTTCCAGTAACTGACATTTGTTATTTTTTTTAAAGAAGATAACAAAAGTGGTATAATAAAACAAAATGCTTAAAAATTAAACCAAACCCATCCTTTTTTTCTTCAGATGTACAGAATGGTAAAGAAAAAAATTATTTCAATCATTTCCTTGGTAATACAAGTAATGTTTAAATAGATTTAATAGTGCTGCTCCAAACCAATGAATTATGAGTTTAAAACCTATTAAAATGTAATGTTTTTTTCCTGAGCTGAGGAGAGAGAGATTTAAATTCACTGAATTTTAATATTTCAGCTTGAGCTGCAGGAGGTAGAGAAAGTCCAAATGAACTATTCCATCAGCACCATTCAAGCATGAACATTTTAATCAGTTTTACTTCCTTGGAGTTCTCCAACACAGTTTACGCTGTCATTCTGAAAGCACTTAACACAGAGGGTGTGAAAAACCACCAAGGCTTGTTATTGCCTTCACAATTGATGGCAAATAATTTTGCAGACTTCCTATCATTAAAATGTCACTGCTAAAAATTGAGGTTCAGCATTTCTTGTGCTAAACTGCATTTTCTTTCAACACCATCACATATCTGTTCTTCAGTTTTTGGTGTATTTATCTTTCTCCAAGTGATAAACAGGCATACAAGCAGTAGCCTTTATTTCTCCCTTACTCCCCAACTGCAGCTGAAAAATTACTACTTTAAACAGCAGGAACAAAAACAATACTCTGATAAAATTCTTAAAAAGTTACAAGTTAATTCCCTGGTTCCCTCATTAAAATGTAACCACACTCACACAGTGTGTTCCAATTGTATTGTATAATGGATTAAAAAAAACCAAACCCCAACATTTTAAGAAAGTTAGACGACTCAATTTATTAATTGAGGAAACGAAAACATCATTCCTAACTAGATTATATTGCTGACTTAAGGTTATGATTCATGTGTTGTTCCAACAGTGCGATCTTGCAGATTCTAATGTAAAAACACGGTAGCTTTGACACATGACAAGATCAACCGGATACATCACATGGCTCATCCTGGCACACCCAGCCTGGGAAGCAGCTCTGGATGTGCACTTCCAATGGCCCCAAGCAAGAACGCTACACCACACCATCCATGGCAAACACCAGATACAGAGACTGTATGCCCGCAGATTTACAGTCCTCCTGCAGCATGCTTATGATATACACAGTTTTGATTTAGTTTTTCTCACTGCATCTCTCCAGGAGATGATAGATGATATCTAACTTGTTTGAGCCCGTCAACAATTTTCAACTGAACATGACCTGTGAAAGAAGTCATTATAACTGTGTTTCATTCCATTAAACATAACTAGTTTATTGTCAGGAGAACAAGCAGCCTCTCCAGATTCTGGGTTCACTTCAGTATTTTGCATTTAAACTGCACGGATCAGTGATTTGGTTCATTTACCAATGAAGATAGAATAATATTGCAAAGTTAAAAGGTGCTTCATCAGATTCCATTAAATTAGAGCACATTCATACAAAAATATATGTGTGTGTGAAACATAAAGAGAGACGTGATCCGTGCACGTTTGATTCTCTTCTTGTGGCATATTCCATTCTGGTAGAATCCATTTTAAACTGACACCCAGGGTTGCTCTGTGCAAATTGAAGGGGTTTAGCACGAGTGAGGTGAACTGAACAGGACTCACTCAAAGCACAGAGAAACTTAAGCTACAGTTGTATTTCAAAAACTCAAATACTGCTTCCGTCTTTGTCTGATACACAGTTCAATGGGTTAAACATACTTTGGAATTTTTTTTTTAGTACCACAGTGTTAAAAGAACACAAACACTGCCAGAATTACCAAACAGCAAAATTATTTAAGACAATCTAATCAGATATATATAAAAGGTATAATTTCTAATTACATTCTTTGTTTTATTTTTATGGGTATTCACAAAGTATGACAAGCCTTTTTAGTCCCATGTTACATTTTCAGACTTTAAATCTCTCTAATCTCTCTTATTGTGGATATTCATCCAACACAAACTTGATAACTCTTTCCTATTTATTTCATTTTTAAAAATGAATATTTCAAAGATTGCATGAGATTACTTCTCCTTAAACGTGATGAACACAAAAATTGCAGTCCATATTGCTCCTGTTTCTGTAAAACTAAAGAGAGGGACACACAGCATTTGCTAAGTCAACATAAAACTTAGGAGTGAAAAAAGGCAGTAGAGTAAGGTAAAAATCAGTCCTGTGAGGACACGAGGGCTGTCTAATTTTAATGCACAAATCCAAAATTCTGATAGTTTAAAAAACTTTGAAGCAATAGAATTTTAGTTGACATGAAGAGATAAATTCAGACAGCAGGAAACAAAAGAAAATTTACTTCTGTCTGGTGAAGGGAAGACCAACAGAAGCTATTGCCAGGCTCCCAGACAAGTGTCTGGTCTGTTTATATTTATTCTGCGTGGTTTAGCGGTTCATGAAAGTAGGATAAACTTAAATAAGGAGTGCAATAGCCAGTATCTGTAACATCACACATTTTACATGGACGTATACACACATGCTACATATGCACATGCAGCACACACGTATAAAAGCTTCTTTAACTAAGAAGCCAACCTTCAGCTACTTACTTTATGCAAAGAATGTTAATAGAAGGCAATATTTCTGGATAGGTAATGAAAACTAATTGGGAAATTATTCACTTCCCACTCTTCCCACAGGAGTGTAAAAGACATACAACAAATGTTATTCATGATTCTACACGACACGCTCTGATTCACCCCCTTTTTTCTAACGGGCACTTCAGAGGAAATAAAGGTTACTTTTTTCCATTTATAATTTCTAATTGACTACCAATGTTTTCTTGTGGTCAGAGATACAAAACAGAGTTAGAAAGAGCTAGTAAAAACAAGCTACAGTCAGATCCTTGCTCTATACTACTGTCACCAATGATGAGAAAGGCCCAATTTCCTTGTTAAAAGATGGAGGTGTAATTGAAGCAATATCTTCAGATTGATTATTCTGCGACCCTTATGCACATCTTCACTCAGCAATTTGAATTTTAATGAAAGTAAATGGAATAATTAGAATTTCAAAGTGTGTTTGATACACTGAATTAAAAAAAAGGAAAATACTTCTCTGGATAATCTGTACACAAAAGAAAAAGCATTTGGGCGGGTGCAGAAGAAAGGAAGTACAGTTGTGTCTTCACTAGAATAACTTAAACAACTGCTTGCACCAGCTGTATAATTATACATGAGTATAATGTGCTATTAAGCTATGACTTCTCAACTTTATTTTATGTAGTGTGAACAGCCATGGCTTTTGTTGTTATGTCTGTCCTCTCTAGTTGTAAAATATAAACACTGTGGCTATCCACACACATAAAATCTCTGTACTGGGTTAATACCACTGGCAGTAAAGCTTTTACAAAAGGGGCTCCACACGCCCATACTTTTAGATGACTGTAGGGCACCTATAAGCACACTATTGATGAGTTGTTCTGCTATGGATTTTGGTTATTTCTTTGGGTGTTTTGGTTTTGGTGTTTTGGGGGGTTTTCCGCTTGGTTGATTGTTCTATTTGTTTTTTAAAGTAACAGCTAGTTTTTAATTTAAAAATGAAACGTGTGATGAATATTCAGAGTCTTGAGCCAACATCCAGAAAAGGATGTGGGCAGGAGGGATGGGAAAAACAGTACGTCATATGAAGTCCTTCTGTTACTGTGGCTGCAGAAGTAGACCGGCAGGTAGTATGCAAAGGAAGCAATGTTACTTAAAAAGGACAAAAACAAACAAAACCTCAAAAAAAATAGATACAATAATAGATACAATACAGACATTAATTATCCCATTAGTCCTTTTGGCACAGTGCAAGGTAAAGTTTTCAGATAGTAACCAGATTTTACGAAGATTAAGCTACCGAACTTCACCACTGCCCACACTTTTTGCCCATCTGATGGAAATGAGTTCATGAAAGGGAGAGAAAAAAATAAAAGCTATTTACAAATACTATCAGAGCTAAAATGAAAAGACCACGTACCCCAATGATTGCGTTCAGTTCTGCCATGGTCACTTGTTTGGCACGCTCCACAGCCTGCACCACTTGTTGCTGGTGCTATAAATGAAGATCAGAAACAGAATAAAATTATTTGTTTTCTAAATTACTAAGCACAAATTCTTCCTTTTATTGTTTTTATTTGCTTTTCCAACACATGCAGGTCTGACATAACTGTTCTCTAACAGACAGTCAAATTGTGTGTTGATCTGCAAAAATGTACAGGTAAGGCAAGAATGTTTATTTTTATGCCATTACATGCTAAGAATTACAGCTTTGCTTCCCAAAAAGCTATTTTACAACCTAGCTAATGGAAAACTGTCTTCTTTTTTGCTCTTCAGCACAATGTGCTCTTGCATTTATATGCCAACTTCAAATGCAAGCCAGTTTCCTTACAGTTACAGAAACTTTCTGAATTTTTTAAAAAAGTATTCTGAAAAAGAAAGGTATATATTTTCAACAAGCATATGGCACTCACACTACTGAAAAATGTGCAGATTCTCCTCCTAGGTACATTTCAAACCATTTCAACCATAGGAAAGAGATTTAAAATGCCATTCACAAATCTGTCAAACATGTGAAAGAGAACTAATTATTTCAATCTCCGACATACAAACTTTAGTAGCTTTAGAAAAGTCCATCAAAAACACATGGTCTAATTAACAACACAGTTTACAAGCTTCAGTGGTTACATTATCTCAGTTTGAGCGATACTGTGTCACTCAGTATGCTGTATGCTGATATTTACTTGAAGACAACTACTACAAATAAAATAAGGTCCTCATTTTTGAAGCAGATCCATGCCTGTTCAGATCTCCACCAGCGGTAAATTAACCTTCACAGGTAGCCTCATGGAATCAGGATGATGCAGAACAAATAGGTGCAAGGACAGGTCAGGGAGAACAGCAAGTAGACTGTGTGATCTGCACTGGGAGTGAGACGTCTTTGATTTATAGCTATAGGTTGAACCAAAAAGGAGGGAGATCCTGTCTATCTGGAGAGGTGCTAAAACCATAACAATGAATCCTCAGCTTTGTATCAAAATCAACATCCAGGTGTTTTTTATCACAAAGTTGAAGGAAAAGGTCTCTTTAAAGGCTCAAGTCTGCCACCTCATGGTTGTGTATATGGGCAGAACGGAGCCAAGGTAGAGACCATCCAACAACTCCTCTCCTGTGCATCCTTATCAGGAGTAAAAAGCTACACAAAATAAGGCGGGGACCCAAATCCCCAAGACCACCTCCAAAACAAGAGTTAGGTGAAGAGCATCAGAAGCACTCCCCAAGGAGCACCCTAAGCCCCACTGGGAGAGGGTGCCATAAAGAAGGGCACTGCTACATCAGGGGCTTGGAGGACTCAGATTTCACAATTCTCAGTGCAACACATAAACGAAAATGGCATTTTCACTTATAAACTGTCTCCTATAAACGCCCTCAGGACAAGGAAAACCAAACATATAAATCCACCCACCCATAACTGCCTTGGTTTGGGCCAAGACAGAGTTAATTTTTCACAGTAGCCATGAGGGATGGAGCCTGGACCCATGTAGGCAGATCTCAGCTGTTATTCTGTACCATCTCATGTCCTCACTGGGGGTGGAAGTTTCTGGGAGAAAAAGTAGGAGTGGCTTGTGGTCAGGAAAAAGTGTGGTGGTCAGATGGTCTGTCCACTATTGTTTTCATTGTCCTGGGCTACATGAGCATTTTTACTTGTATATTACCGTCTCTTTGTACATTTTTGTTATTAGTATTGTTGCCACTACTGATAGTTTTCTTATCTCCTTGCTGTTTCCAGTAATTGTTCTTATTTCAACCAATAATCTCTGTCTTCTGTCTCCCACAGTGGGGCAGGGAGGGACAGGAGAGGGAAGAAGAGGGGAGCAGCTTATAGTTTTCTTTTTACTGGGAGTACTAAATTAGGGAGTAGCATTCCTAAGCCATGACACTGTAAGAAATGCTGACCTCAAGTATGAAAAATGGAAAAATGCAAATAATGAAGGAGGCAATTTAGAAACACTCCTAGAAAGACTAAAATGGATTTAAGGTTTGTTCGTTTTTAAGCAAGGAAGAATTAAATGAAGGACAAACAAACAAATAAGCAAAGGAAACAGAATCACAGCGGTTTCCTTTAGAGTTTTGTAAAACTACAGTGCCAATGTAAACCAAATTCACCACTTATAAGAAGACAACATAAAGACTAAAAAGCAGGTTGAAAGTGAGCAAACATGCTCTTGGCATT